CTTTTTATTGATCACAAAGGATCGACTGGTCATTTCGGGACGAACAACGTTGTCGTTAGTGCTGCGCATAATCAGATTCAGCAAATTATCGCTCAAATCTCCAACCAACTGAAAACTTCTTCTGGGATCAATTCTTCCTCTTCTCGCATCGAAGGTGGCGTCGCGGAGACGGACATAACAAATNTGTATCAAAATTCAGGAGGGAGCCTGATCTCTTTATCTGAAATGTTGGAGAGACAACAGCAGTTGAAATTATATGATGAAAAAATAGAAGTTGGCTTTTCTCCTAATAACACTTCAGAAACATTTTTAACTGAAGAAAAAAGTATTTTAATTTTCCCATTCTGAGAAACCTTTCTTCAGCCCCATCTAATTGTTTGAAGACTTTCCAGTTTACAGCTGCCTCATATTGGTTCTTAAATTTTACAACAAAAAAGCAAAAACCTTTCCAATGCTTGCCAGAAAGTCTTTCAAGAGTGTTTGCAGACTTCCTTGATGAGTCTGAAAAACGTCATGACACTTTGCCTGTCCACAGAAAATTTGTGGAAAGTTTTCTGGCCTGCAAAGAGTTTCATAAAAATGTGATGGTTGGCATGCCCCAGAAGGTCGGGGAACACTGATGTATAATGTTCAGGATAGTTTGAGCCATCATAGCACACATAGTGAACCACGATAAACATAATTTAAGAGCTTCCTTTTTAATTCTTTTAAGATCACGAAGAAAGCAATATGTAATTATACAGTGTTTCCTCGTCCATCCCATAGACAACATTTCACCCAGTACAGTACTTATCTATCGTTTATCATGGCAAAAGCCACGCAATGAATTTCAGTACAGTAAACTCAAAATTCTACTGTGGGGTTCATAGTTGATAGTCTTGAGACTGATGTGATTCTCTTGTTTCCTCAACAGACACGTTCTCACCACAGCCTGGTACATCGATCCGAAACTTTTTGAACTTTCCAATTTGACGCTATTAAGCCTTCATGTCACCCTGGGTGGCACATCAATGACATCACGGAACGTGCAGGATTTCAATGTTACACTGTCGAGCGTGATTCGACACCCGGACTATGTCTTGAACTTTGACAACCTTTCTGGGGATCAATTCATTAAAAATCAACCGGCGATTCTGTACCTACCTTCGGATGCTGTTTTCGGTGTCACTGTGAGAACCATTCCGATTATTCACAATGCCGGAGCCACGTACATCGGACAAGGTGTCACGATCCTGGACTGGAATCGCACCGAAAGTGAGTACTGTATATACAGGGTTTCGTCCAGATGGAGAACCATTTTGCGTTTATTTCTGAATCATATCCTCGGATAATCCTAGGCGATCCTGAACTTCAGCACGCGAGTTATGTCGGCGTAGAATGCAACAGCAGTTCTTTATCCGTGGGTCTGCAATGGTTCCTGTGCTTCAAATTGCAAGATTCCAGCGCCTCCAACGTAAACGACGTAGTAAGGGGAAAAAACGAAATCCACTTCTTCTAGAAGTATGAGAGGCATAGTCAAATTTTGGGGTAAAATGTAGTGAAGAAAGCCCAAAATATCTACAGCAGTTTGATTCTTTTTCATATCTGTCATGAAGGTGTGTAGAATCCGCAAGAACTTCAAATCTTTCTGAAATGTCAATCATTGGAAAGTTTCTACTAATTCTTTTTGACACATGAAAGATAAAAGCAATCAAACAAGGAACTTAATGTGTTTTGAGAGAAAGAGACAGTCAAATCGCTCCAAGTCAACATTTCAAGGGACCAGCAAAAAAAAAAAAAAAGATCGACTCAGGGAGGTTTTGAGTTATGGAAACCTGCATTTTTATTGTGGGAAACATGAAAGAATTGCAGGAACTTGTAAATGGTAATATGGCCAGCCTCAAATCGCTTCTTAGATGAGTTTATAGCATGCTGAACTGGGAAGCAGGGGTTCATTTGCCCCATCAGTATATGTCACTTTCTTTCAAAACACATTTATAAGCTACCAGTACTTGTTATATTGCTTTTCTGTTTCATGTGTCAAAAAAATAATTGCCAATATGCCGCAGAGAATTAAAGTAATGGAGGTTCGATAGGAAAAGCTTTCAAGATAAGAAGGATTTTAATATTGTAAATTGTTTCTAAGGAAATTCAGGCAAGGACTTGCAAAATTTGTGACTTTTTGCGGCTTGAATTATTGAGGGTCAACTCTACTTCCACAAGGGAGTGATACACAGCATGTGACAAATGCTCTTTCAGTTCATTGATTCCTTTTTATATTCTGTAAATTTTTGAACTGTACATCATGCATTTTTGTAGTTATACTCGTCCAAAATGTTTTTCATGATTATATTAACATCTGAAATTTTTTCTTTCTTTTTCGAGATGAATACTGCACAGTGCTTTGAAAAAATACGTATTCCTTTTTCAGGGAGTAGTCGGGTCTCCAGTCGTCCATAATTACGCATCCCCCATGGCAGCAATCGTTGGAGTGAAAACAATAGCTTTGAACTTTCCAGCAGCAGAGCCAACCAAGGTGACAACAATTGCCAGCAGTTTGAGTTATGACGGACATGTTTCCTTCGTCTGCCAATACGCTGATAGTTGCTCGAACACAGCCACTACAACAGACCCAGAAGTCCCAGAACCGACTAATAAGACGTGGATTTTGATCACCTTTCTGCAGAGATTACGCGATTGGTTCGGAAATTTCTAAATGGAAATTTTCTGTAAAGATAAAATAAATATACAATCGTTTGGAAGTTATGTGTGGTTTTTGTGTTTGCATTGATGGTGAGTAAGTGATGAAAAAAGTACATCAAAGAGTCGTTTAATTCGTGTTGCATTACTGGTGTGATGATTTCTTGATGTGCAGTTTATGGGCGGAAAAAAGTTATTCATGCTCTAATAAAGTTGGAAGGATTTTCGTGAATAACTCTGATCATTGATACAGTATTTACTGCATTCAGTCAAACGATTTGTGAAAATTCGTCAATTTTCGTCAAGAGGCAACACTTTGAATGGATCTGCTCGATGGTTCAAGGCAGAACTGCATTAAAATATAATGGGATTTAATGGTTCTCTGTTCGTGGAACTATCATTTAACCACAAAATAACTGGAATCTAAACCGCATGCATTAAGTGTTAGGGGATTCGTATAACCAATTCATCTGATTTTCAAGTCAGACGATTCAAAAATAGTGCCAATTCTACATATAGATAGTTGCACGATTTCAGTGTTCGAACCATGAGTTTTTTTTAAATATGTATGGATATGCATCATTGCTGTCCCCGGAAAATGTTAGTTCTAATCAATTCTTCAAGACAATCTTTTATAAGATCCTTTGCATTTTATATGCACAACACCAGGCTTTTTTAATGTGTTCATGATGCTTTTTTCATTTTCAGTTCAGCATGCAAGAACAGATTGTTTGGCGATGTCTACTTGCTAGAGCCCTTTAAAATTTGTTTAGTTTCGATTGAGTCTATTCTTCAAATAGAATTGTGCGTTTTTCTACATTAAAAAAATAATAAAAAATAGATTCACTGGTATAGATAATTTTTGGGACACCGATTAAGAACCGCTTGTATTGGAGGAACTCCTAGATACTGTATTTAAGGTAATCTCACAATTCAGGCGTTTGCTGTTTCTATTGAAACCACTGCTTGGCAAAATCGACAAGAAAGGTTTTTTCCCCATTTTCTGCATAAACGTATTTGCATTGCTGTAATCGTACGCTTCATTTAAAAATGGTAAAAACGAATCAGACTTCACGTGACTGCATTTGCTTGTACTGTAGTTGATTATAGAATTGAACACTTCTGCGAAATTCGAAAACGAAAGAAGTCGCACATTATTTGGTGTAATACCGTATTTTTATTGCACCAAATGATCGAAGAATTATTGGTTTTTTAAACGAACCAATATATTGGCCAAGTCATGTAATTAAGATTAGCGCATAACACATCATTGCATGGCGATTGTTGAAGGCATTATTCAGTGCTGATGCCGACGTATTTCTTCTACTTATTCAATTCGTTTTACACTTTTTCTAGAAAGCCATTTCAATGGCCTCAATATCATAAGACTCAAAAACAGGATTGTTGTGTCCCCTTCTTCAACAATTACAAACTACTGAGTGCTTTTCATGATTTCACCATAAGTTTTTGTAGTTGGAATGTATGTCAGCAGTGGAAGTTCGAAAACACTTTGCTACAGAAAGAAGAATCCATACAAAAGTTGCTCAGTTCTGTTGTGCGGTCTTTTTGAAAAAGTCATCCTAAAATCATCATCGTATCATTTCAAGAAGGAAACCAAGTTGGACAAACGTTTTCCACTGCCAAAACTCTCTGCAAATTGTCTTGTGTTTTTCTCTTGCACGAAGCGTTTCCCCAAAGTGTTTGTCAAAGTTTTAAATCAAACTGTTTATTCTGCCTATTGTGCTAGCAAAAGTACAAGTTTAGCTTATTTTGGGATTTCAAGTCCCTTAGGTCGGTTGCGCATCAACCAAAAACCGAGTTCTTTTCTTTTCTCTTGTCAAATTCCTTGATCCTCTCACCTGCACAAAATCAGGGTGCAACACTTGATTTTGCACAAGGCAGGGGGCCACTTTACAGTACTCATCCATCATGGATTGTGGCAAAAGCAGCAAAAAAAAATGACAGTATTGAAAATGCAACTACTGTATGTGGTTGATGTTTGAGACTGATGTGCTGGTTATATTTTTTTCCACAACAGACACATTCTCATTACAGCCTGGCTCATGGATCCCAAAGTTTTAAAAATTTTCAATGTGACGGTAACTAGCTTTCCTGTCATCCTTGGTGGCACGTCGTTCATTGACGTCACCGAACCTGAAGGAATTCGATGTTACACCATGGAATGTGATTCGACACCCCGATTATATCTTCAACTTTGATAACACTTGGGATCAATACAATAAGAATCAACCTGCGATTTTGAATCTACCCTCAGATGCTGTGTTTGAGTGACACTGCGGAAACCATTCCGATTATTTACCATGCCGGCTCCTCTTATATCGGACAAAGTACCACGATCCTGGACTGGTATCGCATCCAAAGTGAGTAGAATTTTTTCAAGGTGAAGAACCATTCTGCGTTAATTTCTGAGTCTTATCCTCGTTTTTTCCCCAGACAACGTAGAACTTCAAAAGGCGAACTATGTCGGCGTGGAAGGCAGCAGTCCTTTACTTTACTGAACCCCCAATGGTCACTATGCTTAGCATTGCTCAATCTAAGCGACTCGACCCCTTATAATGTGGTAAGAAAACGAAATCCTACATTTTAAAATGTACGCTGGAAGTTACGTAGTCGAAAGGTTGGGGACAAATTTAGTGAAAAACGCAACGAAAAATATTTACCGTTCGATTTTTTGTTTTATGCGTTATGAAGGTGTAAACTATGATATGGAATCGACCTTTCGTGGAAGAATGTGCACTTTCTGTCTTTCCAAAATCACGATCATTTGAACTTTCTTCCAATTCCGCAACAGCTGATATACGCATTATGTCAAACTTTTTTTTTCATTTAATTGATTCCTCTTTTGACTGTGCGAAGTTACGCACGGTATTTCGTCAATGACTTTTTCGCAGATATTTTTCCCAATTGAAGTTCATGATTAGATAGAAATCGGAGATTTATATAATCCTCATGACCATCAAAAATATATATGTATATACCCGTTTCAGGGAGTATTCGGGTCTACATTCGTCATCAATTACGGATCCCAAACCGCAGCAGTTGTTGGAGTGAAAACCGCATTTTCCAATTCTGATGCACAAACCAAGTTGATAACCATCGCCAGCAGTTTGAGTTATGGACATGTTTCTTTCGTCTGCCGATACGCTGATAGATGCTTAAACGCACCCACAATGAAAAACGCTGCACCAACTAATAAGACCTGGATTATGACCACCTTTCTGCAGAGATTTCGCAATTGGTTCAGAAATTTCTAAATAGAACATGTGTATACAGATAAAATGAATATACAATCGTTTGGAAGTTATGTGTGGTCTTTGTGCTTGCATGGATGAGGAATAAGTGATGAAATAACTACATCACAGAGTCATTTGATTCTTGTTGCATTTTTGGTGTCATGATTTTTTTGATGCCCAGTTCAGGCGGAAAACAGTTTATGATGCATCAATAAAGTATGAAGAGCTTGCATGAATTGTCTATGTTGGGTAAACAAGAACTTGGGTCCAAGGAGGAAACCATCAGTGAAGGCTTCCACTGGTTTCAAGAGAGAGCTAGTGAAGGTTTTCTTTTTCATGAAGTAGTTCAGCATTATTCTCTCATTACACACTCACAACTTTTGGCAAATTTTATTATTATCCCACTATCTTCTTGATACAAATTGCACACAAATGTGTTATTGTGATTTCTTGCATTTAATTCCAGATTTTTGTTATTTAAAATTTTATGAAAGTTCAAAACTAAGAACACACATTCAAGGTCCTCTAGAATATGTGTTCTTGGCCTATATGATTAAAGGCTGATTGCCCTGGCTTACCATTTCATTTCATGTTTCCACTGCACTATGTTCAATCTTCATGTTGAGTTGATTAATATCCTCAACCGGACACTTGGTGAAAATTTGTTATTTTTAGTTGTTAGATGTAACTTTGAATGAATCTGCTCAAAATAGTTCAAAGTAGCACTGTCACTGTATTAAAATATAAAAGGGATCATCACTATATTAAAATAAACCAATGGAATACTTTGATTCAAGTAATAACAAGAGAATTGGAATAGAAATCACCACAATGCGCGAAGGTATTAGCAAAATGAATTCATCTCCTTTTAAATTCATCAGACGATGCACACAAAAAAGGTGTCAATTTTGCGTAGATAGTTGCATGAAACTTATATTTCTCATTATGATAATTCTTCTGAAAATATTCAAACACATTATTGTTGTCCCCTGGAAACGTTGGTTCTCATCATTTTCGATTCCTGATAATATTTCACAGACATTATTTTCTGAGATACGTTGCATTTTCTATACACAAACAGTTTACAGGCATTCGTCATCTATTTATGATACCATTTTCCTTTTCAGTTCGATAATGTAAGAACAAATATTCGGGAAATATCTCCAGCATGTTTTTCTGTGAAATCAGCCGAAGTTTAGACAAGAATAAGAGAAGAACTTTTTCGCATTCCAGAAACGATCAGCTAATTTCAGCATTGTTCCCTCTTCCGAACAGCATATACCTTTTAAAATAGTGCAACATTGAATATAGGAGTGTATAGGTGATGAATAATGATGCCAGCAATGAATGAAGAGAGAATGTAAATTAATATAGTTTCTGGCGAGGTGTGGTCAAACAAGTCGTATCAAGAGAAAACTTGCAAAGATAGGAAACAATTTTCAACTTTTTTGTGAATTTAATTAATGTACAAAACAGCATTTTCTTTTCTCAAGATCATCGAGAGAGGTGATGGTAATAAATTTCTGCTAAAAAAAATCGCGTAGCGATGACAAATTAACAGCTACAAAAAATCAGGTGCACAGGGGTTGATGAACTTTTTTTTTCTCAAGAGCTCTTCGTAACACGACGTTTCCAACCGCACAAAGATCGATTACTAATGGGTGAAAGCACAGCAACAATACATATTTTCACAAAAAAAATGCATGCTTTTTTTCACAGTTTTTGAGGCAGTCTGGCCCATATAATTCGACCCAGAGTGAAGCACTCCGCAGTTGATCGTCGAAGTCGAGACGTTTCTTTTGACACGGCCGCGATCCGCAGAGTTACAATGTAATAAAAATAAAAAAAGTTTACCTTGATGCGAGCTGTGAAAAATTTGGAAAGATTTTTTTTCGCAAGTGGGATCAAGTTGCATCCAGAGCATCCAAAATATTTGCTAACACAGTACGAGATTTTTCCTCCGGACATCTTATCTTTGTAGGAAACCTTGAGGTTAAATTGCTTGTTTGTTTGGTTTTGATCTCGTCCGTGTTGAAATTCCCCATCATTGAATCGATGCGTTTGTCACGTGATTCAGTCTACGTCGTGGGAAACAATGTCTTACTATTGCTCATTGTTGCCGGAATTCATCACTGCACAGCTAATACTGCTGGTGAGAAGAAAATCGTTGCTTTTTCATTTGAAAGTTGGCAGTTTACTCTTTTTATTGATCACACAGGATCGACTGGTCATTTCGGGACGAACAACGTTGTCGTTAGTGCTGCGCATAATCAGATTCAGCAAATAATCGCTCAAATCTCCAACCGACTGAATACTTCTTCTGGGATCAATTCTTCCTCTTCTCGCATCGAAGGTGGCGTCGCGGAGACGGACATAACAAATGCGCCCTACTTTGCCAGGGTTGATGCTACCATTAATGTTACAATGATTCCTATCGTCATAAGATACCCATGGCAGGGTGGATCTCTGATTTCGAAAAGGTATATTCACGAACTCCAAGCTACAGCATTCATACCGTACATATTTCTCATTGCTCTGATCGCCCCTTCTTGCAAGCTAAATAAAACAATTAATTAAATTACAATGTTATTTAAACCTATGTTATGTGGTATAATTCTCTTTGATATTCATGAGAAGAACAAGAATTTTATAAATTTTAAAAATTTTAAATCTTGATTTGGCGCCAACATTTCCAAAAATTCATGGAAAGGTGATACCCTGTCAAGGACTTTGCAGAATTGAAATTTATAAGACGAAGAGAGTGCTGGAAAAATAAGTCAAATTGAGAAAGAAGGTAAAAAGAAAAATCGACAATCAGCAGGTTAGCCAACCTGTCCTTATATGGACTGAAGCTTGAGCGTAAACTTTTTTCTTAAAACTGTTTTTCATGCAATAAAAATCAAGATCTTCCATAAGACTTCAACTAAAATGGATCAGAACTTCAAAAAGCTACTGCAATTCAGATTTCTCAGCACACAGCCATTTACTTTGAAACTGTAGTGTGTGGCGTATAGCAGTGTTACTACACCCTAACCAAATTCCCTTCACTGCGAATATTGAACCACTTCCCCCGTAAGGATCCCCCCAGCCTCAGAACCCACTTGAACCTCGCGGGAGCGACAACTCTCGCGGGGACTCACCCCTCGCGGAGGGTGGCAAGAACAAATAACTGAAAAGTACAAATGTGTACCAGTGTTCTTCAAGCCAACCTTTCGTGAAGAGAATAATAACAAAAA